TGCAGTGGAGGATGGCCCAAGTGCTTGGGCCCTGCACCCCATGGGAGACCAGGATAAGTACCTGGCTTCTGCCATCGGATCAGCGCGGTGCGTCGGCCGCAACGCGCCAGCCGCGGTGGCCATTGGAGGGTGAACCAACGGCAAAAGGAAGACCTTTCTCTGTCTCTCTCTCTCGCTGTCCACTCTGCCTGTCCAAAAAAAAATATATATATATAAATATTTTATTGTATTTCCTTCTGGTCTCTTCAAAATACATATTTAAAATTACTTTACCATAATTGAGATTTTTTTATATATGAGTATGGTTTAATGTATTATTTTTTCCTGCAGGATTATATGATAGACATGTATCTAAGTTATTAAATAATTTACATTACCTTTTATTTTGTATAGTGTTTTAATTGGTGTTGCTCTATGTGACATAGATAATCTGATATGGAACTTTTTTCATGTAAATTTTTTTATTTTAAAAAGATTTATTTATTTTATTTGAAAGGCAGAGTTACAAAGAGAGATGGAGAGAAATCTGCTGGAGTTGGGCTGATCCAAAGCCAGGAGCCAGGAGCTTCTTCCTGGTCTTCCATGTGGGTACAGGGGTCCAAGGACTTGGGCCATCTTTTGTTGCTTTCCAAGGTGCATTAGCAGGGAGCTGGATTGGAAGTGGAGCAGCCAGGTCTCAAACTGTGGCCCATATGGGATGCAGGCACCACAGATAGCAGTTATATGATAACTGCCACAATGCCAGTCCAATCACTAGTTTCTTTTTCTCCTAATCATCAGTGATCTGTTGGACAGTAGTAAGGGTCTTCCTGCTGTTTCTCTGTTGAATTCTTATATGGATATAATCCTCAGTGCCAGCAGGAAGTAGGTCATCACCCTTACTTGCATCAGCAAAGGGGTCAAAAGATTGGAGTCTGGATAGCAGACATACGATCAATAAGATTCCTGTTGGAAATGGCCTGCGGCAGGCTGTAGTTGGAAGAGGTGGACACCGGGTTACAGCATTAGGAAACAAGGGGCTAAGAGGGAGGCTGTGAGTCCTCAGCAGCGGCTCAGTAACTAGGGCCTGAAAACGTTTTTGTTTTTGTTTTTTGTTTTTTTTTTTTTGACAGGCAGAGTTAGAGAAAGAGAGAGAGAGAAAGGTCTTCCTTTTCCGTTGGTTCTTAATATGGTACTCAGAGCTATAAAGAAGTATTTGGAAGGTATGTTGATAGTCATTGAGGTCTCATATCCCAATAATTCATTATTGGTTTATCTCTTTTTGGCTTTTGTTGGTTCATTTTTAAAATTTAGTTACTTATTTGAAAGACAGGAGTTAGGGGCGTCATGTGGAGGAGGAGGAAGAGAGAGTGGGGGTGGGGGAAGAGAGACAGACAGATCTGCTATCACTAGTTCTCTCCCCAAATGTCCATGGCCTCCATGCCAAAGCCAGGAAACTGGAACTTGATCCAGGTTGCCCACATTGGTGGCAGGGACCCAACCACTTGAGCTGGCTCCCAGGGTGCATGTTAGTAGGAAGCTGGAAACTGTAGTAGAGCCAGGACTCACACACAGACACTCTGATAGGAGATGTGGGTGTCCCAAGTGGCATCTTACCTGCTAGGCCAGATGATTGCCCCATCTATTTTTATTGTTGCTGCTATTGTCTTATTATCTTAGAAAGGTCATTTAAATCTTTGATTCTGGGTTTTCCCAATTAGGAAATGAGAGTGCATTAGATAATTTCAAATGCTTCTTTGGAATTTCCATTTTTTACTTGTTTTAAAATTACTTCCTTGCCATATCACAATGATGTCCTTTTTGTTGTCACTTACCTTATTATGTAACTATCCCTAATATATATACTTTAGTATACTTTATTTATATATTTATTTATATTTTAATATACTTTATTTTTTAGAATTTTAGGTTTATAGCAAAATTGATCTTAACCTATAGAGTTTCCATTTACTTCCTCTTACCAATATCCCACCACAGAACAGTACATTTGTTACAATTGATGAACCCATATTGACACACCTTTATCATCCAGAGGCTGTTACTCTGTGTGTTGTATATTCTGTGGGTTTTGACACCAATATAGCATAATACAGGATAGTTTCAATACCATAAAAATTCTCTCTCCTTTGTCTGTTCATGTCTGCATCCCCCCTACCTCCCCCGGCCAATGATCTTTTTACTGGCTCCATAGTTTGACTTTTTGTTGTATAGTTGGAATCATACAATATGTAACCTTTGCAGATTGGCTTTTTTCACTTAGTAATATGCATTTAAAGTTCCCCTATGTCTTTTGATGGCTTGACAGCTCATTTCTTTTAAACACTGAATGATATTCCATTGTCTGAAGGTACCACATTTATCATTCGCCTGCTAAAGGACATCTTGATTGCTTCCAAGTTTTATTACAGCTACCATAAACATCGTCGTGCAGTTTTCTGTATTGATATAGTTTTTTAACTCTTGAGTAAACCCTTAACATCATTTGATAATCTTTAAAAATTATTTATATATGGGATGGGTGTTGTGGTACAGTGGGTTAAGCCAATGCTTGGAATACCTACATCCCATATCAGAGTACTTGGGGATGGAGTACTGCCTCCATTGCTAATCCAGCTTCCTGCTGATGTGCCTGGGAGGCAGTGTATGATGGCTGAGGTACTTTGGTTCCTGCCACCCATATGGGAGACTCAGATGGAGTTCCTGACTTCTAGTTTTGGCCTGGCCTAGCTCTGACTATTTTGGGCATTTGGGAAGTGAGCAACAAATGGGAGATCTCTGTCTGTGGCTCTGCATTTCAAATAAATAACAAATAAATATTTAAAAATCATTTAAATAAATTAGAAAAGTTATAAAAAATGAAAATTCTCAAGCTGATTCAATGAATATTATATATAAGGAGAATTTCCCTTGTAAGAGAATTTGCAAAATGTTGGTGCATTTTATAATTTAAGGATAAAGGTTCCTTTCTGACATTTTTCCTGTAGCACAGATTTGAATCTTACATATTTTTTTTAATTTTAATTTTAATTTTTATTTTTGACAGGCAGAGTGGACAGTGAGAGAGAGACAGAGAGAAAGGTCTTCCTTTTGCTGTTGGTTCACCCTCCAATGTCTGCCACGGCTGGCGCGCTGCGGCTGGCGCACCGTGCTGATCCGAAGCCAGGAGCTAAGTGCTTCTCCTGGTCTCCCATGGGGTGCAGGGCCCAAACACTTGTCCATCCTCCACTGCACTCCCGGGCCACAGCAGAGAGCTGGCCTGGAAGAGGGGCAACTGGGACAGAATCCGGCGCCCCGACTGGGACTAGAACCCAGTGTGCCGGTGCCACAAGGCGGAGGATTAGCCTATTAAGCCACAGCGCTGGCCTGAATCTTATATTGATGAGCAACTTAGTGCTATACTCATAAACCCCAGTGACTTCTTTCTTGATCTTGAAAGAAAGGATGAAGAGATGATATGATGATTTGAAAGTGGTAAAATGTGGATACCTGCCCCTTGGATACTGTGCTTTTACAGTGACGTTAAATGAATATAAAATGACAAACAGTTTTGGACTGTGTTCCAGCTACTGGCTGGCAGTGAAAGATGATTCATCAGATGCCAGCCCTCTCTGCATTTTCCACGTTTTTGCCCTTCTCTCTTTTTTTAAAGGGTGTAAATAAAATAAATTTGAACAGTGTATAAATTAGAACCATAATATGAATTATAAGATCTGATTTTTATCACATTTAGTTTTTTAGTGCTTTATTTTTAAGTGGTTTGTTTCTATGCAATTAAAATTATATTTCATAATTTTCTCATTGGAACATTTTGAATTTAACATTGTATTCTTATGCTAGACCTACCTATTTTAAATATATTTCAAAAGAAACTATAAATATAATACAAAAAAGTTTATTGATCCTTCAGTTGAATATCAACATTTGGGAGAATTTAGTTGTACCCTTGAACTTAACTTTTAGAAGCAGATTATATTTAATTCATCATGATTAATAACCTATTGATTTTTTTCCAGCATTCTCTGTAACTCACACAAACTTTGTAGAATCTTTCATATGTGGTCCTGATTACTAACAAAACTAAATTTATTTTGCCAAAACATCCTTCATTCAAAAGTTTTTATTCATTTTTTTATGAAAATTGTTTAAAATTTTCCATATAACTTATTTATCAAAGAGATTTAAAGTTGTTTAGGATGGTTTTGAATCCAAAATTTACAGATTATAAAGGTTGTGGATATTTTCATAGTACTCTAAATATTGCTTTTTTCATATGTGATGCAACTTTAGGAGGTAATAAAGTGTGGGTTATTACTGTGTATGAGAACTGAACACTTTTTTGCATATTAACTCACGTATTGTGAAAATATTTCAGTCAAAATATTTTTAAAGTACAGAAATATTTGGGAAGGTGAAATTTAATTTTTTAAAAATGACTATATTATTGTTTTTGATCTTAATAATTCTTCACAGTAGGAAATCAGCTATCTTTTGCCCTGTTTTGTTAATGATACTCAAGTAGAGTGATTTGTACAAGGTCATATCAAGGTAAATTGCAGAACTGAGATTAGAATGGACCAAAATGCCTGCCTTTTTTCTGTGCTGGGTTACCAAATAGATTTTCACAATATTTTATCATAATCAGTGATACCATTTTGTTCCATTATCTGTTACTACCCAAAGAAGATAAATCACAACTTAATTCTTCAATATGCCTTCAAAATAATGTGATCAGGTGACTTCTTGGGAGTTGGGGATGAAGTGAATGTAAACTTAATTTCTGATGATCTAATCCTAATGGAGAAGAATGAATTTACTTACAGATAAGTTGTACAATGGTAATCAACTATGTCTTTTAGCAAAATAATTAAACAAAAACACTTGATAAATGTAAATGAGAGAAACTTATGAGAAGTTCTGTGCTAAAACATTAGATTTTGTGATGTGAGCCTAGTGTGCGCTATTGCATGCAATAAGGGATTCTTTTGTACTTTCTGTTGCAGATGCTGAAAATGTCTTCTAAGGAGAAATATCCCTTATTTACTTTTGTAAATGGTCATTCCAGAGACTATGATTTTACATCAACTACAACCAGGGAAGAAGACCTTTTCTCAGAGGATGAAAAGAAAAGATTAAAAAGACTGAGCACAGAAGAATTTGTCTTGCTTTAAAGATCAGCACATTTGTACTGGATGAGAACTCTTTGAAAGCAGAAAAGTGAAGAGAAACAAGTACACTTGAAGCTGGTTTATTTTCACAAATATCTGAATTTTATATGTTCTTTTAAAAAAGAACATTTGAAAATATACAAGTTTAAAGATATTTTTCTGAAAGAGAAATGATTTAATGAACTCTACTTTATAATAAATAATAAATTAAGTGATTCTGGTTGCATTCCTATTTCCCTAGGATTTGCTAATGATAACTCAACCTTTAAGGAAGATTTTAGTCTTCAAAGCTTTCCACCTGAACCCATTGGTTTCCTAGAGCTTTTATGATAAAACTTCCCCTCCACTGGCCCGAAGAATGGGATCACTAAATAGTTCCAAAATCCTTAGTTTGTATTGATAACCAGAAGACCAGAGCATGAATCTTCGTTGCTACTATCATCCTGCTGTTAATTCAACCAAAGGGTACTTCGGGATGTGTTTTGATCATTAAATGCTATTTATTACCTGGACTATACATGTAATTCCCTAAGCAGAAGTGAGTTAAGGTAGTACTTAGCAATATGATTTTATAATGGCTACTCAGTATGCTTGCTGTTGAACCTTCCATGAGGAGTGAATTCAAAGTATTGGTTTTTCCCACAAAATGTAAAGATGTTATTAATAGTAACTGCAGTCATTCCAATCAGATGAATGCAATTATAAAATAGTAGTAGTGCTTCTTTCTTATCTCAAAAATGAAGTTTTATGCATTTTTTAAATCTAAAGATAAGCACCAAGGGAAACATCAGTAGATGCTCCTCTGTGTGATTTTTGTTATTTGTATGAAGCAGTGTAGTGATGTTTAGAAGCTGAGGTTATCCCTGAGGTGGATCTGCCTTAAGTGTGTTATGTATTACTCAAAGGCAAATTTGTGATATAAAAGTATAAGAGTTATTACTGAACCAGAATAAATACTTTAATAAAGATGTGAGAACATAAAATGCCTTTGTTTTGGTTTTAATGTTGGGATTATTTTAATCCTCTCATTTGAAAAATTATTCTCTCAAATTCTATTTATAATGAAGGCAAATGATATTGTTGTTCTGAAAGCAAAATATTCACTTATGTTACAGAGCTTCCATATTTCAATTTGGAAAGGTGACTTATTATAAACATAAAATTGCATATCACCTAAAGCCATTGATCTCTCCCATCAGAAAGCCTATTTGTTTAGAGTTGCATGCAAAGCTGAAACAGAGAGGGCAAATTGCTTTAGTATGCATGATGAGGGAAATCAGATTTGACATTTCCCAGTGAGAATAGTTTATTGAATTTAAATAAATAGTCTGAAATCTGAAATTTTCCTTTACTCTTGATAAAATCTGGACAAATTAAGTCCAATACTAATTTTCCTAGAATATCAAAGCAGTCGAGGAATAAGCAGCCAGTGGTATGTCAGATTTAATTTCATACGCTGCAGTCCTCTTATCTAAACTGTTACCATGGACTGTTCCTACACAGCTGTTGTATTCACAGTATTCTAGAACAAACACATCACATGAGAGCGTTCAGACTTTCAAATACATCAGAACTGGTTATAAGTGTTCTCTTAAAAACTTAGAAATACAGGATGGCATGATTTCCCCCAGCATATTTAAGGATCATTTTAAAGTAGAATTGTGGATTTAGACAAAATTACATTTGAATTGTTTTGAAAATACTGTACTTGGAATATTGTACAAACAAAGCAATTTGTATACTGTAGTCATCATCATGACTAGGAATAAGTGTTTCTAATCAAATTATTAGCATAATTATATGCATATAAAAAGTATCCAATAAGGTGTATGAGGAAGTGAATTCATGGCTAAAAATTGAGAGGGACTGATAAATTTATCTTACCTGCCTGCTAACTGAACTGAAGCCAAAAGTCATGCTAATTATTTATTGGGAAGGCAGCAACAAAACTGTGTTGTTACATTTTGGAGTAGAGGTACTGTGTATTCTGGTTTCAGACTTGGGTTTTGAACACAGACTTGTGGCAGCCAGTAAGCTCCATCAGTAAAGCTGGGAGGGATGATCACTTTCAGCCTGGAGTGCCGGACAAGATTCTCAGGTGTTCTGTTAGAATTATGACAGGAGGATCCTCCATTTGGACATCAATATTAAGACACTGGGTCTTACCATTAACATTTCAGAAATGAATTTTTAAGGTTCTTGATGTGACTTTTTGATGAAGAAGGTTTTTTGTCTCTTCTTCATAAAATTTGATACCGTGAATTCCCCTTTGTCAAGGTAGTCACCACCAGCAGGCAATCTTGGGAGTCATCATTTGCTGATTGAGTGAATGGAAAAAGAACTTTTATAGTATAAGCATATCCAAAAAAGTTCCCCTGAGGTATTCATTTTTCTGTTTTTACATTAAGCCAACTCCATTGAATCTGTAATAGTGAGAAGACAACTTGAGGATTAAAAATTTAGGTCACTTTTGTGATCTGTTAAACAAAATCGTTTAACATTAAGGCCAAACATATCTGAAAGAATGTTAATTCCGTTCTGTATTCATAAGAGTTAAAAAAGAACAGCGAAAATGACTTATCTATAAAATCTGTGCAACTTTAGGTTACAAATATTTGTTTCTTAGAGACCATTAGGTGCCTGCTTTGATTCCATACCAAAAAACACTATTTCTGGCCAAGTCACACTAATCCTCCCTCTCTGTATTCTCTTTCTTCTAGGAAGAAGTTTGAAAGTTTGCCATAGATGACCTTCAATTGCTTGCATTTGACATTTAGGTCTTTTTAAATATATTTTCATATACAATCCTAAAAAAACTATAAAGAATTTTTCAAGAACAGGAATTAAGAGGAGGGACAGATAATTTTTAAAAAGTTTGAAAATATTAAATTACTATATGAGTTCTTATTGAAACAGATATAAGGGGGAACTGAGAATTTAAATAATGATGAAATATAAGCAGGATATTCAGAATATATGATAGAGGCAATTTTTTGGAAACGATAAGAGATTATTATCTTCTATAAAAAGAAGGGCAAATGGCTTCCAAGAAAATACTAGCAAGATAAATATCTATCATGTGGTGTTTACTGTACTCTCAGTGTTGTCAATCAGTCCCAATTCAATAGTGCTATTCACTTCAGCATTTATACTGAGTACTCAGATACTGAATTGAAAAGATGAGACATCAGAAAAAACTGGAAACATCCTATTGATTCTAAAATATAAACTTTATATCATTTTATAGTGTGAATCTTAAGTCAGTTTAAAAATCTTAAGCATTTTTGTGTGGTTTTCATGGTTATTTAAAGGCTTTCTCCTTGCCTATAAACTTTGAAAACTATAAGAATTGGCATTGCAGGCACATTTTTGAGTTAGAATTTCCCTCTCCTCTTTTACCATCCTTCTTGACATAACTGGTGGCAAGCAATGGCCCAAAATATTCATGACTATTGTTATAAAATTTCACTTATTTTCTCACAGTGATAAGAAAAACATGTTAAATGTGGAGAATGCATGTTTATTATTATGTGGAAAAATCACTTTTTTACTTTGCTACCCTCTAACCTACTATTCCAGAAATTTACAAACTAAATCTTCCCAGGTTGTCTTCCAAGTTAATCATAAAAATGTATTCTACAGAGGTAATTATCTTTCATCTTAATAATTAAAAATAATTATATATTTGTATTTTATAAAAATATAATATAGGTAAATAGAAATTAGAAATTCCTGAGTTATAAAATAAGTTGTTTTACAAGCAGGAAAAATAAACAAAGGAAATTTGGAAATCCAACAGAAGTCAGATACAAAAGGTTGAGAGAACTATAAACAGCAAAGTTTGAGTTTATCTAGGTAATTACATCATGGTAAGCTGACACAGATAAAAATATGTGAATGAAAAGGCTTGCAGATTATGCTGATTTAAAATTGGATGTAGGCACTGGAAGAAAGGAAGTACTGGTAATGAAAAGTGGGTATGGGGCTGCCATATTGCACAAGTCCAAGGGGCACTATATGTTACGTGAATGGTACTCCTTGGAGTTGTGCAATGTGGCATCCCTGTTTCCTAATATTTACATACTACTTGCTGTTTACTCAGCACTGTTTTGAGCAGTTCACATCTATTAAAATATAGCTAATGAATCTACAATGGGGAATTAGGTCTGAGATTAACAGGATAATTACTATGAATCCTAGAACATGAATGATCACATAAAGAGTCCACAGTTAAGGATGTAGATACACACTTCTAAAGTAGCTTAAATAGATACTAGAGGAAGAAAATCCACCCATACTTGTGTTACTTAAACATACTACCCTCATTTTTCTATACTTCTATATTTAGATTCATAGTCACATTACTTTAAGCATGTTCAGTAGGTTGAATTTGGATTCCTATTTGTTTAACTATTTTCTAGCTGATGAAGAGGGCTGTCAGTCTTTAATCTTGGTTTATGCCTCTGTCTTCATGGTAATCTTTCCTGTGACTTGTGACTGGTTCTTAGACCTGACTCATTGTGATTGGCCAGTTTTGTGGCTGCCAGCCACTTTCTGCACCTACAGGACTTATTTTTCTACATGATTTGTTCCTGCAAACACTTGAGACAGTTGAATGTTAAAGAACTGAATAGCAGATACTGTAAAACAATGTTTTAGGGATGATTCTATCCAAGAGAGTTTAAAATATAAAAATATTAAACTTTTTAGATTTATTTTTAAAGATTCATTTATTTATTTGAAAGAGTTACAAAGAGAGAGAGAGACGGAGAAATCCATCTTTCATCCAAAGGTTCACTCCCCAAATGGCCACAATGGCCAGGGCTGTGACAGGAGCTTCTTCCAGGTCTCTCACGTAGGTGCAGGGGCCCAACCACTTGGGCTTCCTCTGCTGCTTTCCCAAGCACATTAGCAGGGGAGCTGGATCAGAAGTGGAGCAGCCAGGGACACAAAACAGCACCAATATAGGATGCCGGCCCTGCATGCAGTGGCTTAACCCGCTGTGCCACAGCACCAGCCCATATTTATTTATTTTTAAAGATTTATTTACTTGAAAGGCAGAGTTACAAAGAGAGAGAGAGAGAAAGAGAGGGGTTCCATTTGCTGATTCACTTCCCAAACGGCCACAACAGCCAGGGCTAGGCCAGGCCGAAGCCAGGAGCCTCTTCGAGTCTCCCACATGGGTGCCAGAGGTCCAAGCACTTGGGCCATCTTATGCTGCTTTCCCAGGCACCTTAGTAGGGAGCTGGACTGGAAGTGGAACAGCCAGGACTCAAATCAGTGTCTATATGGGATGCTGGCATTGCAGGCCATGGTTTTACCCACTTCACCACAGCGCCAGCCCCTTAACACATTATAAAATTAATTTTTTTAAAGATTTGTTTATTTCAAAGTCAGTTACACAGAGAAGAAGTAGAGAGAGAGAGAGAGAGAGATCTTCCATCCGCTGATTCACTCCCCAGATGCCTGCAATGGCCGGAGCTGCACCGTTCTGAAGCTAGGAGCCAGGAACTTCTTTGGGTCTCCCACGCAGGTGCAGGGACCCAAGGTCTTGGGCCATCTTCTACTGCTTTCCCAGGCCATAGCAGAGAGCTGGATTGGAAGTGGAGCAGCCGGGTCTCAAACTGGCGCCCATATAGGATGCCAGCGCTGCAGGCCAGGGCATTAACCTGCTGCGCCACAGCACCAGCCCCTCTACTTTTTTTTTTTTTTAAATATTTATTTATTTATTTGAAAGTCTGAGTTACTCAGAGAAAGAAGGAGAGGCAGAGTGAGAGAGAGAGAGAGAGAGAGAGAGAGAGGTCTTCCATCCGCTGGTTCACTCCTCAATTGGCTGCAACAGCCGCAACTGTGCTGATCCGAAGCCGGAGCTTCTTCCAGGTCTCCCATGCAGGTGCAGGGGCCCAAGGACTTGGGCCGTCTTCTGCTGCTTTCCCAGGCCACAGCAGAGAGCTGGATCAGAAGTTGGGCAGCTGTGACTCGA